ATAAACACACCAAGCACTATCACATTAAATGCCATCACTTCTCTTAGGCATTAGGAACCAAAGACATTCTTGGCTTTTTTTAAACTTGTGCTTCATAAATATATAATGTTCTTATAACTTAATTTTATTTGTTTTTAAATTTAAAAAATTACGTATTTATACGTTATAAAAAAAATAAATTAATTTTCCTTGTTTTTTAATACACTATAAAAATATTCCATGTACCCCTCACATTTTTATATACGTTATAAAAAATCACCATTCTTTCACACACTATACATCAATTGGATCATTTCAATTAAAATATAGTAAGAAATAATACCTGAAGCAATTGCTTAGCTATTCTCAGAATTGATCACATTTATATTTCGTTATGCATTTGTGTACATGTTCTAAAGTGAAATTTGTCTATGTGTATATTTTGTCATGATTATGTGTTTGCGTCGTTATGCATTTGTGTACACATTTCATTGTGCAATTTGTTAAGCAATTGGTCAAGCAATCTGGCTCGGCATAATTTATTTTGTAACGGTATGAATACTGGCTTTTGTTTGAATGACAAAGATAGACAGTTTTTGCACCAATTTATTTCGGCCACACATTATTTTCATAAAGAAGCTTAACACAAAAAAAAATGTTGTAAGAATTATTACCAATCACAAGTTGATCATTCAAACATGGTTGGCTTTGAAGAATTGGAAATGGCTTCAAGTCGAACATCATCCGGGGGAAATTATTTCGACTTAAAGTTTTCACTTCGGTCCTTTTGAAAAAACCCAAGAGCTTATCATTGCTAGCAGTTTTCAATCTTTGATAGTTGTCATGGACAAAAACATTTCGAATGGCATATATGCCACCTTTAATGATTTGCGTTTCAAACCTCTCTTTTTCCTCTCGAGCAAGATGTGCGTGAATCCTAGTTCCCTAAAAAAAGTATACAAAGTGAGATTATGAATTTTGGGTGAAAAAAAACAAATGTAATAACTTGTAGAATATATTACATGTTCATCGTGAAAGACAATCTACATGGAATCTCCACCTTTCGCCCATTTAGGAACGTAGTAAACCCGAATAGCCCTCAACATGAGAATCCAAGAATTCTTATCGCGGTTGAGTTTCGCAATTGGAGTGAACATTGTCATGGACATGTTTTCGGAATTTTGAGCCATATTTGGGTATATATGAAGCTTACACCATAAGTGGTTAGAATGGGAAGAGGTGTGGTCTTGGATGGAAAGAGGTGTATATATATAATTTGGGAAAAGCAAGTAGGTTTAAGCACATTAAATGCTTGGATTTTGTAAATCTAACCATTAAATTGATAAGATTTAAAGTATTGATATGGCACACTTCCACATAAACTATTATTACATTGCTTTATGGAGCTCCACACCTAGCCATCAGACGCAACCCAAGAAACTGCCAGCATGCCTGCCCAATCCAGCTCCAATGTCGGCCCAAGCCCAGCAGCAAATCCGGCCCAATCAATGGTTGTGGAATTGGCGGGAACACTATTCATAAGAGCTTCTTACCATTGTATATAGGAGGATAATTAAGAGTATGAAGAAAAAGAAGAGGGAGATGGAGATGAGGGAGGAGAGGGAGCCCATTATATTTTTTTTTTAGATATATGGACTACAATGACAATTGTAGAATTCAGTTTTGGATTCTCATATATAAATAGAAATACATATACTCATGCATATCTTGATGTCCCCCACCCCTCATTAGAGAATTCTACATATAGTAAATTTGCACTCGATAGAACTAAAACATAAACCATTTTTCAATGTAGGACTTTAGCTTTTTTATTTACTAAATAGGACTTAATAATGACTAGTGAGAAGAATAATGTCCAAGTGATGCTGGACATTTAATTGAATAATGATTAATAAATAATGACCAATGATCCTACATTGAAAAATAGAAACATATGATCATATATTGAGAAAGTCATTATGTTTTAGTGTTAGGTAAATTACCCTTCTATATATTCGGGTCATTTGGAGCTCACTAAATAACTTCTTTATTTGACATATGACGGTGATTTAAAATTTAAATGTGATTTAGAATTCAAATCCAATCTAAAACAAATTTTATATGGATATACTGCAACAATAAACTCGGTATGATGCTACACACAAATTTAAATACACTCAAATAATATAAATACCTTAATGGCATGTTTGGCAACATGGATTTGGATTTCAAATTCGGATTTGACTCAAATTCCATGTTTGGGAAATTCAAAAAATTTGAATTTGGATTTGAGTCAAATTCCTTTCATTCATAACAAAACTTAATTTCAAATCCATGCACATCCTCTTGTCATTTGAAATTCAAGATTTCAAATCTTAGAATTGAAATGCATGAATTGAAATGAAACGCTAGTTGCCAAACACTACCTAAACTATTTTTTCGGTGTTTCACAAAATTTGACTCCAAAGTCAAAATTACCTTGTAACTTGTAAGGTGCAATTGAAGGGTGAGGGGTGTGTTTGAGTCGGGACAGGATGGGAGGGTTCACGGGGAGGGTTAGGGGGGTAGGACCGTCAATTTTACGAACGGGGCACCGGAGTGCCCCGGGTAATCACATGATATGTGGTTCCAATGTCATGAGAACCGCACCGTTGTTTAAAAGAAAAAATGACAAGTGAGATTTGAGATTATAGTTATAGGACAACCAAAAAGTAGTTTAACATTTGTTTTATGGCAACTTCTTCCGTGGACTCAAAGTTCATACTTATGGAGTATTATATAAACTTTAGTACATTTGAAGTATAAAAGATGCGGGTCTTTGCAAAAAAAGAAAAGATCTATATGTAAGTCAATGAAAAATGTAAGATAGTCTACATATAATTATGATCATGTAAGCATTTTATATTCTGAAAAATCCATTTAGATATGCTTTCTTGCGGCTCGCGGTTCATATCAACTTTTATTGAATTACTCCTTCTATTCTATAAAAGTGTTCCTATTTTGACTTTGTGTAAAAATAAGGAAATGTTAAATTGTAGTTGACTTCCAATTTTGTCATTGATGTGATGGATAAAAGTAGGATGTAATGGATTGAGTATTAGAGAAAAAGTATGATGTGATATGTAGGGTATGAAAAAGTAAGGGTGAAAGTGGTTTTTCAATAAAAAAGTGGAAATGTTTTGTTGGAAATAAAAAAAATGAAAGAAAAAGAGTTTTTGAGAACGGATGGAGTATTTTTTATTATAAAGTGACTAAAATGAGAGGTGGAGATTTGGTCAAAATCCACAAACAAAAAGCTTGCTTAATAATTAGAACTAAGACATAAGGCATACTAATTTTATTTATTTACAAGTCAGTTTACAAGCACATACAAAAAAATAAATTTTAATTGACTTATAAGTTACCGAGTAAAAAATAACTGTTAAATAATTTTGACAACTTATTAAGATAAATAAATTCTCAATTAGGCTATGTTCTATAATCTTCAACTTTTTTTATAATGAAATCAAATCAGTTAACTATATCAAATTCAAAAAAAATTAAATTTATTTAGAATATATTAGATCAGATCAAACATGATTAGCTTTTTATAAAATCAATTCAGGATCAATCATATCATAGAAACAAATAAAACAATTTCCTAATTACTTAGCTTGGATCATGCATCATGTTTCATGCATGTTGAGTTAAATGGGGGTAATTTTGGCCTCACATGTGAAGGAATCATACTCATGTTGAAATTCCTCACAATAGTTTAATAGCTTATGGTCAAAGACTTCAATAGCTTTATTAGCTTACAACATCTCCAACCATGCTTGTCATATGGATTTGCTATTTTTACATTATAGCAAGTGAATAGTGAAGGAAGTATTTTTTTGTTTAATTCTCCAACCATCATTTGCTATTTTATTTTTTAAGTACTAGCTTGCTAAAATTTGGGGGGCTTGTTTTATTTAGCAAGCCAAAGTTATTTTTTGGCAAACTTGCTAAAATAAAGCATACTCTTTGGAGAAGAAAAAAAAGAAGAAGCTAGCTATTTTATAACTTTTAGCAAGTTAAAATGATATGGTTGGAGATGCTTTTAGCTCGATTAGAGCTTCTCTTTTGGCTCTATTCTTTTTTGTTAGAAAAATTATATTTTAATTTTTTTCTAACTTCTTCTAGTGATATCTAACTTCATTTAGTTTATTCCAAGAACGAATTCAAATATTTATTTACATACGATGACTATACAATAATATTATATATCCAAATTTTTAACATAACGCCTCAAACACAGACAACAATGAATTATTTTTTATACCCAACATTAGTTTTCTTATATGTTTATTTGAGTGATCATTTAATTGAACATTTTTTAATACTTTATTTTTTCAACATTTTATAACTCTATCCATTTTTTCAACTCCTTTCAGTTTATTCTAACTTTTTATAGTTTCTTTCAATATTCAAATTTAGAATTCTAACCGAAACAAACATAACCTTTATAATGAGTACGAATCCACGCAATTTTTGCAACCAAGGATCGATTCGGTTAGCCTGCCCTAAAATTGAGTGAATATGGGCAATGATAAATACTCATATAAACGGGTCAGGTTGGGCCTGCCTTTTATATCAACACATATGATAATTAAGATTGGGCCGTTAAGGCCGGTAGGCTCACCCATATATATATATATATATATATATATATATATAGAATATTATATTATTGTCTCCGTAATGTACTATCGATTATAACCTCCTATTTGTTTTGCATTTCACATTCAATCAAATGTAATATGTCGTGAATTAGAAGCTACTATTATAACAATTTTGTCGCATTTTCTCTTGTATTTGGTTGTACTAGATTATTTTTTACTATCTATTACTCTCTTTTTCATTGTAAAAGTTCAATATAATTTCTATTTTATTTTACAAGTTTCTTGATTTCATTATTGGGTCTGAACCGGCGGGCTGCCCGGCCCTCCTAGATTTGCCGATGTTAGTATAGATTTTAGCCTGTGTATTTCGTACCGGGTTACGCCTGCCCATAAGAATATGCAACTATTTTGTACTCCGTATTAACCCAAGATCCGGCCCGAATCCGTAGGTCTAATTACAATCTCATGGGAATTTAAGGAGGAAACGAAACAAATCACAGTAATAAACTCCCAAATTAAATTTGGATCTTCGCCAATAGGGAGGGGAAGCCAAATACGCAATCAAGAGCTCCGAAAAAGCATTGTTTCGATTTAATCCGTCTTTTCGATTAAACCCTAGAAGTAAGTCTTTTTTTTTTCTGGCGTTTGAAACCCTAATACTCCGTATATGTTTTTTTTGTAAATTCAAGGTCTGATGCTCTGATTGATTTATTGGTATTATCCCATTCTTATGGATTTTGTCCTTTTCATTGCTTTAATTTTATTTTTGTTGTTTCTTATTTAAAAAAGCTTCAATTTTGAAGAAGTGAGCTATTGATTTATTATGTTTTGTTTTAGATTTCTTTCAACCACAGTTGCTTAATGATACCATTTACCAATTTTGAATTATTTTTTTTTAAATTGTGTTTGTGCGTAATTTCTGTTTTATCTGCATATATTTATATTCAGTATTTTGTAGTTTATAGTCTAAGCACTTTGTCGTCCCTAATTAAATTAGAAATTACAGAAAGGTCACCGTTTTTTATATGATCTCAAGGAATATTTTGAGCAATTACATGTATTTCGTTCCCCAAACCATACTCCCGCGGGATTCAACTGGGTTTTTGTTGTTGTTGTTATTGTTGTTACATGTATGTATGTATGTTGTGACTCATACTTAAATTCGTTCTGTAATAATTATGTAAAGGTTTACATGTTTTTAGTTTGTTAGCTTCTTAAAGTTGTATTTCTGGATTTGATTGGTGATGAATAAAGAAGTGCATTTGTTTCAAAAAAAAAGTAAAGGTGCTTCTTTTCTTTTTATTCTCTATATATGAATCTTGTACCTAATATTTCTTCTTTTTTTAATGCTCAGAGAAAGTTTATAATCTTTCCATTGTAAAATCTCATTATATTTGATTTATATGAATTGCTACTTATGTATTATATTCTTTTGAAGGGGATGCCTTCATCTGACTTTTTCTCAAGTTATTGAGTTTTCTCTCTCTTTGTTAAGACTAGGTTGAAGAATCACAGCTACAATGAGGCTTAAATGTCGGTGCAAAGTGGAGGTAATGAACAGCTTGGAGGGGACAAATTCATGGCACACTGCAGAGGTACTTTCTGGGGATGGACGTACCTACACTGTGAGGTATGATTCTTGTTCGAGGTTTGAAAATTCCTCAATGGAGGTCAGGGTCCCTAAGAAGTTTATTAGGCCTTACCCTCCTCCCGTCCAAAGTGGAGAAATTTGGCAAGTTAGTGACCTTGTTGAGGTGTGCTCATGTGATGATGTCTGCTCGTGGAAAGCTGCTCGTGTTCTCATGATTTTGGGAGGAGATCGTTATTTGGTGAGACTGCTTGGATGCTCACAGGAAATTTCCATCCACAAATCACGCATGAGAAGGCGACAATGTTGGAAAGATGGAAAATGGTTTTTGCTTCCTAAGGTACTTCTAACAATCATTGTAGTTTACAATGACTAAAAACATAACATTCCCTCAATTCAATGCTCGAAATTTGGCCAAGGCGAACACTTGGGTTCTAGACACCCTAAAGTCCTAAACTGATTGGCTTCTGGGTGTGTTAGGTGCTCGATTAAAAGCTCTTGGATGGTCTAGGGGCCTAACAAAATGTACAACAATGCTTAGGTTTGGAGCCTGTTTATTAAGACTTGGGCTCTGGTATTTGTTTGGCATCTTATCTGGCCTATTTTTCTTACAAGCATGATAAATAGTGTTAGTAGATTAAATAGGCTCTTGACTTATTTAGTTGAATCAGGTGTTGAGACACTTTTCCTTTCATAAAGCTTAGTAGATTCAGGAATTTTACTCATACTTACCCTTACCAAATGGGGGTTTAAAATTGAAGTGGATCAATAAACCAAACTTGTTGCTGACATAACTGCATCTTCTCAATAAAACCATACACACACACACACAGCCACACACCTACACATACACTAATGTTTCAGTCAAAAGGTAGACACACACACACACCCTACCTCAAAGAGTAGAACTATCATTTTCTTCTATTTGAGTAAAAAAAAGTTATCTCTGCACTAATGTTTATCATCCCTGTCTGCTTATGTCAGTGCTGGAAATTAAGTTATCAGTTTATAAAAACAAACTGGCTGATAAGCTTAGGAAGCCTACCAATGGACCCTTAGTGTTAGACATGATAAAACATATTTTATAATGTTATTACTTGTTTAGTGAATACGCAGAATATATATAAAATTATGCACACAAATTTTATGTTCTTTTTCTTAATAAACTTGTTTTTTCTTGATCCTTCAGGATTCTGGAAGTTATGGACACATCAAATATCGTGAACCACCATCTGATTGTTGGACTAATATTAATGGAGGAAGTGACCATGTTGCCTTTGAGGACATCACTAGATTACATGACTCTCATGTGATCTCTTCAAGATCCCTTAAGAGGATGTCTCCACACTACTCGTCTGCTGGTGAAACATACCCTCAGGAATTTGGAGCCCTTGGAACAAATTGCAAGAGACGGAAAATAAATTCACCACAATCACGTAAAAAGGTAGATGCTGTTGCTTACCCAAGAGAAAGGCTGGGTGGAAAGTACATGCATGCTTCCATAAATGTTAGATCAAATGCATATAACAAAATTCACAAACAGAATCTAGAAACAGAATATAGTGATTCCACTAGCGGTAGCTCTGTTGGTAGTTGTAGTGTAAATAGGCATGGCTGCCATATTGTTCCAGATCGTGATGCCCTTTGTAGTGATGCAGAGTCAATTGGTCATTTAGGAGATGAGTTCCCATGTTTTCCCCCTCAACCAGAATATGGTTTCGCAGAAACTATTCATAGGATAGAGTTGCATGCTTATCGCTGCACTTTGGAGGCATTGTATGCTTCTGGGCCTTTAACTTGGGAAAAACAAACATTGTTAACAAATCTCCTTATTGAACTCCATATTAGTGACGATGAACACTTGACAGAGTTAAAGAACCTAATATCTCGTAATAAACAGGGTTAGCCTGCCCTTTTATTTAGTTCTGGTTAATCTCCAACCATCTTAGCAGTTAGCACTAACATTCCGAAAAGCTAGATAGCAAGGTTGCACATTGTATATTCTATCCACCCTTGTATTTTTATTGCAATAAGTTTCTGGAACACAGTTTATTGTAACCATGGGATTATGTAATATTTATTTTCATAGAAGTACTCCGAAAAAGTTTAAGAGATGAGTATATTGGTTTATATTTCCTTTTTCTTTGTATTTTTCATTCATGCACTTATTTTATGTTTTGTTTGATAAAATTTCCCTTCATTTCCTTCATTTTGAGCATGCCTGCATGCCTTGACTGGTGATTTTCATCAACACACTGTCTGGCAGTACATAATTTCAGTGTTTAAAGATATTTTTGATAAGCCCCCCGCTGCATTTTCCAGGGACACTGGTCGATGCGTCCCTTCTCCCATAGTTCAAAGGGTGATTCCCGTGAGTTACCAGACGTTCTAATGGAACATACAACAGTACATTACATCCGTGCAATTTCCCATACCAATATTGCCAATCACTGGTATTACTATATATTCTATTGGGTGTTATACTTAAAATTCATGCTGTGGAGGAGTACTTTAATTACTCTGTATTTTCTTCAAAAGGTAAGCTGATATCGCTAACTTGTATCTCCCAAGGTACACCTTGTCTTGCTTATTACAGAGTTATAATTATTGATGCAAGGATGCTATTACTTTGTTTATCTGGATAACTAGATGTTACAGTTATTCTGCTGATTATGGATACATTTGAAACTCAATGATACAATTCTGAAATTGCCACCTAATTTTGTTTATCTGGACTAGTGAACTATTACCTACAAACAGTGACAAGGTTTTTTTGTTGTTGCAAACTCATTTTACTGTTTAATTATATGGCATGAACTAGAATTACTTTTCTCTCCTGCGCAACATGCCTGCTTTACATTCGTATTTAAGAATAAAAAGGTAGATTTATTTGCTGCTAACACTGAACCAGGATGAACTAGCATTTGGATCAGTTGAGGTATTTGTTCTGGCTCTCATATGGTCTTTTGTAATACGGAAAAATGACACTTTTGCCCCTCTTAGTTATACCTATGATGGATATGTACATTTAGCCTTTGACATGGATTGGTTGTTGTTCTTGTGCCATACGGTGAAGAAAAGAGATTGGATAATATTATGTGGTACGATGTGAAATTCATAACTTTCTAGGCCTTTAAACAAGCAAAAAGATAAAGTGAATGGTTCCACATTAGAAACTTATGAAGGGGAAACAGCTGAGTGAAATATATTTGCTTATTATTCATAATAGTAATGTGGGATTATATCTTATATTATATTATTGTGCTGGGTTACAAGGGCACTCAACAACAAACACAAATATACATGCATATCTTTTCCACTTTCCATACCACATGCCAACATGATTCATGATGGTGCATATTGAAACTACACTTCCCAACCCCTCTCCACTTCATATTACCAGCTGGAAAAATGTCTTTAAAAATTAGTTCAATACCATATGATCAGCCTTTTCTTTGTAGTTTGGTTCCGTTCAAACAAGTCTACGAGGATTGCGGACGCTGACGAGCTTCACGTCGTCAATGACGGGCCCACAAAGGGAGACAAAGTCATCGCTTCTGGTGTGGTAGTAGGTGCTGAAGAACATGATACGCGTCCTGTTTGCGTTAGCCCTAAAGCGGAGCTTGGCAGGTTTGTACCCTCCCTTGCCCTTAGACTCGTAGGGTACCTTGAGCGTGGACTGGCCCGCAAAGGCCTCCACGACCATGGAACCCTCGCACTTGTTGCTTGCATCCCCAACTAGGAATGTGAGGTCATAGAACTTGCCTACAATGGTGCGGACGATTTGGGTCACTGCACTCTCTTTCCCGGCCACGAGCTCTACGGCCCTACGGCCGTGGGGCACGCTGAAGTGCTCGGCGTCTAAGTATTTGACAGCTTTGAGAGAGTCCACTGTCCATGCGGGCAATGGGGAGTGATCGTCCTCTGTGAATGGCGGGCAAAGCACCCCGGTCTCTACCGTAGGAAACACGTATGGACCTTCTTCAAAATCTCCATTTTTAATCAGTGTTACTGCAAAAAAAAAAAACATATATAAGTGTATGTCTACAATGGGTAGTTAGAATATTAAATCTTTTGAAATTGCGACTTTCAGTTCAGTTATTTGACACGATATAAAACACTAGTGGGTTGATAGTCAGTTATGAATAAGTCAAAGTTTATTTGTGCTAATTATAGTTGAAGGTAGAATAAGGCAAGCATTATTGGCCAACCCTATTATATTAAAATCTGAAGCTGTCCAAAATATAAAACATTTAAATTTTTAAAACATCAATTATAAAGTAGTAATAAAATAAAAATGAGGCATGCAGGACAAGAATGTAGTAATGGTAGACATGTGCAACAATTGTATCATGCGCCCTGAATTAAATATAAACAGATGAACCAAACACATTTACTGAAATTCAGAACAAAACATGTTAACATGTACATATCCAGGCTGTGAATTGGTTGGGCAGAATGAGCTAAAATATGAAAGATACCTCCGACCTAACCCCAAACGTACACAATTTGCTGTCCGCTCTATATCTATATGTATTATTGTATACATATACTCATCACTATACATAAGATATATAAGTGGCCCCGAGGCAATTTAACAATGAATGAGTAAAAAAGTAAGGAGGGAGAGACATACCACGTGTGGGTCTGGGAGGGTACAATGTGCGGATTGCGACGGAGTCGATGAGGGGCCCACAAGCAGGGTCCTCCTCGACGCCCGGGTTGTGAATGATGATGTCAGCGCGGGCGCTCATGGCCTGGAACGCCCAGGCATAGCAGTCCCATCCGTTGCTGCTGTACAGCGTCTGGATGGGGAGGACGCCGGAGTCGGGTGCCACCGTGACGTTGAGCCGCTCCTCCTGGGCGCAGGTCCGGGCGGCGCAGAACGTGATGGAGTAGTACATCCCTTTCGTCACGTTCGTCAGCGTCTGCTTGATCGAAGCCTCGTTCCCGAGCCGCACCGCCGCGAACCCCTCCGGAACCACCAGCAACATGTCGCCTTGCTTTTGGCCTGCCTTAATGTACTCGACGAACCCCGACACCGCCCACCCCGGGATGGCGTCGTGCTTCGTCACCACCGTCCGGTTAAGGCTTGTCTTTTTCACCGGAGCTTCGAAGTTGCCGTTGGTGATCAGCCCTGCATTTTTCTTTGCTCATCAACATCATGCATCAAGCATGCGCATGTGCATTTCACGTGGCTAAATGCACGTTCTTGCATGCCCATATTTCATGAAGAGTGTATACTTTAAATCGATATGGAAAAATAAAATACTCCGTAAAATATTGTTACTCTAAAATTTCTTATTTTTTAAAAAAAATGGTTCATATACATACTCCTTTCCTCCTAGAAAACTTAGGGTCCGTTTGGTATAAGGAATTGGTGGAATTAGAATTGAATTGGAATTGTAATTCCATGGGATTCAATTCCATAGAATTGAATTCTGTAAATTTCAATTCATTTTTTGCACTATCAATTCCAAATCTACACAATTTTTGTGTTACCAAACACTAGAATTGGAATTGAAGTCCCCAATTCCAATTTCATAGTTTAAATTCCATGTACCAAACGGGGTCTTAATGTTTTCCTTTTAGTGAGTAAAAGATAGAAAAAAAACAGGAACTTTTCAGCCGGCCTACTGAGTAGCAACAGTACCAAACGGATGAGCAATAAATGGTTTGGAGTTGGGAGCAATAAATGATTTATTCCAAATATTGAACAAAAATAAAAATAAAAATAAAATAAAGGTTCGGTAAAGCTTTGGATAAACCTTAGATACGTCAAACATGGTCAATATTTATCCCTAAACACGTACTAGTGTGCAACTGACTGTGTAGGGAGAGGGCATTTTGGTCATTTCACGCGGGAGGAGCATGACAACACTTGGGACCAATTGTCCTTAGCTAAGACGGGCCAGCCAATAATAGATGCCACCCTTTGTCGGGTTGTCTCCGACCTTCCCCATTCTTTTAAATCCTCAATACTCAATTACTCTCTCCATCCCAAAACTTATTTAGTATTAACATGGTAAAAGTTTAATATTTTTTTTTAAATTTTTGTCAATTATTTGATAAAATAATAAAATCTTGTGATCTCTTATTTTGTAGAATTTTTTATATAATTTTTAAAGATATAATTTTTATTTTTTAATGTTAAAGAAGAGTATCCAATACTCCTCGTCTAAAAATAAATTTCTTCATGGCTTCATAAGATTGACACTAACTTAAGGTTTGTACACTATTCGAAAAATTATTGATTTCTTACTCCCTCATAATTCTTTGATTGACAAGAATAATTTAATTGCACTGTAACTCTATTAATTACTCCGTATTAATGGGACCAGAAGAATTGAATGAGCTGAATTATACTACAGATTAAGTGAAATACTGTAATAAAGATAGTAATAAATTAAAGCATGTTCAATTTTTGATGTTCTCAAACATTAAAAGATTTTTAAGCACGTGGGAGGATAGTCATGAGAAAAGTTACCGTCGGTGAGGGCAGACGAAATCTCGGAGGCGGCGCAAAGAAGCACCGCCAGCAGCGCCACCGCCAGCCGCCGTGAGTTGTTTTTCATCATTTTTACGAAAAGCTAAGAAAAAAAAGTAGAGGAGAGAGAAAGAGAGAGAGAGAGAGCCGAAGATCGCCGGGTTTGAATTTTGAATGGAGATGCGCCCTCCCTTTTATGCATGCCCCTCCTGAATAAGGGACACCAAGTTTCGGATTATTACACATTTGCCCCTATCAACGTTTTCCTAGTTTTGGATAGATCATAGATCTGATTGCATAATTACTCCAATAACTTTTCATACTTATGATTAAGCTAATAATGACGCATTTGGGGTCTAATCTTCCAACTTCAATAGAATCAATTAACAATAAGTCGATAACTGCAATGTTTAATTATTAAATCCATCAGTCAATGTTGTTTCATTACTATACAATATGAATGCACTTCTATTTTTTTCAAAATAATAATAATAAAAATTCTTATTTAATTCGGTGAAAACATCAAATTGGATTAAGAACACATTCCTCTATTTTCCCAACAAAGTCAAATTATAAATCCATGCACTCATCCTTATAATTGAGTTCATGCATATATGTTCATTAGGCTTTACAATTGAAAATCAAAATTCAAATTATTTCATAGTTTCCAAACATTATCTTATTTACATTTCAATAGTGTGAATGCATATTTGTTTGCATTTATTGTGTTTTGCCCAAAAGTACTCTCTCTTTTTAAAAATAAGGATCATGTTATTCTTTCATTCTTTGATCTAAATAAAGAAAGCTTCCATATTTTATATTAGTATTGTTTCTAGTGTTATTGACTTGACTACAATTTAATATTTGTACATATTTTTTTCTCAATCTAATGACACACAAAGAGTCAATGTCTCTGTTTCCGCTCGAACTCGAATCTTGATGAATTTCTCAATGAATCATGAGAGCGGACTTCCTGTCGCTCAAGACAGGGGAGAAGTAGTTCAGTATTCTTTTTTTAGTAAAACTACCTATACCGTATAAATTTCTTCACACAATTCATGGGACTTAAATGGATTCTTCTTGTTATTCTACTTTATCTCATCCATTAACTATTTAAAAACTAAATAAAAAAGGGTGGGATGGGATGTATACACACACACAGATAATATATATTATATACGGAGTATATGTATGTGTGTGTGTGTGTGTGTGTGTGTGTATATATATATATATATATAAAACTCGACAGAAGGTGATGAATGGTCACATGCATTTTCCTCCAAAAAATGGTGCAAAGCATCACCTCTAAGCCTGGCTACGAATGTGACACTTCCGCAGTTCCGCTACCTCATGGAGTACTTCAATTCGTTATATTTCACGTTTTTTTAATTCTTTTTTATTTCAAAATAAATTTCAAGTTAAGTCTAACATTCAGAAATAGATTATTTTATATCTATATTTTTTTACGGTCCTAGCTAATACAAAAGAAGAGTATTATTGTGAGAGAGATTGTTTTGCATGAGTTTTTGTGAATTAAAATAATGTGTTTTGGTTTTGGTTATTAAAAAAATTTGTTTTTGTTTGCTCAAAATATTTATTGTTTAGAAGCTACTCCGTAGTAAACAAGATAACAATAGTAGCTCTATTATATGAATATATGGATCGGTCTCTTTGGGCAAGTGTCAGTTGTCAAAGTGACCATTTTCCCTAAACTAAGCTTTAATGTCTTTCCTTCCCACCCCTTAACTTTTCAAGCTTGACCTACATTATAAATATAATATTGTCTCCGTCTCTGAGTATTTGTCGAATTTTGACTTTTTTTGATTAATTTTTTTCAAGTTTTGACCTATAATTAAATGAAATATACTTCCTTCATTCTAAAAAACACTTTCTCTTTTATTTTTTTCACTTCCAGCAAAACACTTCTACTTTCTATTCAAAAACTACTTTTACCCTTATTTTTTCATACCCTACCTATCACATCATACTTTTTCTCTAATAATCTACCCATCACATCTTACTTTTACCCAATCCGGGCAAAATTGGAAGTCAACTACAATTTAACATTTCCTTATTTTTACACTTTTTTAAAGTAGGAACTCTTTTTGAGAACGGAGGGAGTATATTGTTTATTAATAAGATAAAATAATATTTTTGAAAATATTTGATATAATAAATCTAATAAAACTTTTTAGTATCAATATCTAATATCATTTTTATTTAATTTGAAGTCAAAGTTTATTAATTTTGACCAAAAAAATAAAAAATAGACAAATATTCAGAGACGAATGGAGTACTATACTTCCTTCATCCCAAGCTAGATTATGGAGGATTTTTCTCTGTTGGTGTTCATTAGCTTATTACTAATAAGTAGATTTTAACTTATAAACTATTTTTAAGTCAAATTTTTTTCTGTGCTTGTGCGCTTATTGGTTTTTTAAACTTATAAGGTGTTTATAAGTCAAATATTTTTTCGTGAAAGTATAATGACTTAAATGATAGATAAGTCATTTTTGTAAATAATTTTATCAAAATAGAGAAACAAAAAAATTAGTTTAAACATAAGTAGCAAAGACCTACTTATTTTTTCTAGCTTATAAGTAGCTTACAAGTACACATAAACATGTAATCAGTTGACTTATAAGTTAAAAATTGCTTATAAGGTGTATTGACCAGCTTATAGACACCGAGAAATAACTATTACATTTTTGCATTATGAAGTAACCTCCCGTACTTTTAAAATCATTTTATCTAATATTTTGTATATGAAAAAAGACAAATTTACATATTAAAAAACTATACCAAAGTTTTACTGAATAAGAAGCGACATGAATAGTATATTTTTATCACTTAATTAATAAAAACACACAAATTAAGAAAATTATTGAGGGGTGTGAAAAAAAATTGCAATCAATTTTGAAACAACGTGAGTTTTTTATACTCTTTTTAAAATAAGATATACTGTACTTTTGATTATTTGATGATTCAGATCTAACGCTAGACAATTACTCCGTAATATTTACATTATTTTGAAAAGAGTATGATACGTAGTATTTCATAACGAAATCTCTTGATGAATCAATTCAACGACGCACCATCCATCCCAAATTAATAGGTTCTATTTATTAATTTCATGAATGTTTAAAAATTGTTGGAAAAAAATTTAGTAGTAAAAAAATGAGTACTTAAAAAATTTAGTTGAAAGAGATTTATATTCGGATTTTTGACCACATAATGTTTTATACTCCCTCCGTCCCTAAATAAACTTCCCCTTTCGTTTTATCTTTGTCTCCAAATAAACTTCTCTTTTCCTTTAAAGAACCTCTTTTACCCTTTATTTTTTCATACCCTACCTATCACATCATACTTTTTTACTAATAATCTACATCTTACTTTTGCACATCACATCAAGGATATTTTTGGAAAGTCAACACAAAAATATCCCTTTCTAAAATCCTCAAAAAGTCAAAAAAGGAAGTTTATTTAGGAACGAGAGGAGTAAATAGGAAAAGAAAAACATTTTAAAATGAATGGGAGAAAAAGTGAAACATTTTTTTTCGATGTAAGGGCCCCCAAGTGGTGGAGGGAGACAAAATCAGTTGCGTCAACGCAATTGTTAACCAATCCAAACCTAAGATCATGGACTGTTTTGGGCTTCATACAGAAACCGACATCAAAGTAGGCCTACCACATGTGGGTATTTACTGCAGTGGGCCGGCCTGGTTCAGTTGGGATGCTTATTCAACTGTGCTCTAGTCGGTGCATTTTCCGGGCTGCCCTCATTATTCTCACTCATCCCATTCATCAATTTAATTTATTTATGGTCATGCTATGAATCATATCAATTTTAATACATATGAATGACAATCGTTTGTAAATTTGTAGTTTTGTACAAACACGAAATATAAAAATAGTGATACCTATATTTATATATATATATAAAGAATGATTATTTGTGCGTTACAGACAATTATTAATTGTACATGTCTTGTGAAACACTTACTTAGTGAGTTTCCAGCATGATCCCACTGCATGGAATATATAATCTTCTGTGAGTTCTGTGTCACAACCGATTATATTTTGTGTTCACATATTTTCTTGGACAATATATAGGGATATGCAAATATATAGAAAATAGTTCCAGATTGATTAGAAACATGGTTGTCCTGAGGAATCTGTGGCCCAAGACGACATGGGGAAAATGGATCTTTGTGTCATAATGAAGTAAAAGTCTGTAAATTAATTTTTTAACAATAATTAAAATTATAAAAATAATAATAATAATAATAATATTAGATGCCTAAATCATAGTATATATACAACAAAAAAAACTTCGAAAATAAGCCCGGAAATATATAATGCTTGGTGGCAATATTATGCTTTAAGGTTGGATAAGAGAGCAAGTGGAATAGAGAAATGGGGAGAAGAGATCCCGAAGCCGTCCTTGTGTCATGTAAGAGTAAAAAATGCCAAGAAACATAATTATAAATCTCAAATATTCTGATATAAAGAATAAATAATTTACTTCATCCGGAATATAAATAAAATAATACGGAGTACTTCATCCACTCCACGAAAATTTTCTCATTAATTTTGTTAGGCTAAAAAATATTATCCACTTTTTTCTTTACATTTATATAAAAAATAGTCCCAACTTTTTAAAATCCTAACTACCCTGCTTTAGGATTTTTGAAACATCTTTTACACTATGTTTAGTTTAAGAATTTTGGAAGGAAAAGAAAAGAAAATGATTTTCTCTCATTTTCCTCACCAAAATGGGAGGAATTTGGTTTTCTCTCCACTTAATACATTTAGCTTCTCATTTTATTTTCCTTCCACTTTTCCTCTCCAACCAAACATGAAAAGCTGTTTTCCAATTCATTTTATTTTCTTTTTCTTTTCAAATTCCTTGAACCAAACATAGTGTTAATCTTCAAGAAAATATTATATTTGCCCACAAGTAAAATATGTAAACTGCACTATAATCTGTAAGACCAATGGAGTATTTTTAGACAAAATTGCAACTCCCTTCTCTCGAGATAAGTGTCTTCTATATTATTTATAGAATAAATTCTATATTTTGTATATATATTTTTCACAAAATAAATAGTCACGTAAACCCTTTCATTATATTTGTAAATTTTTAATATAAATATAATTGTTAATTCCTCCATCTCCAAATAAATTGTCATGTAATTAATACATGTGCTAAAATTTAAGAGCCAAATGATCTATCAATACAACACAAATTTTGTCAATTTAGCTGAGAAGGTTTTTTTCAACCAATTTTTCAAATTCCCCAAAATTGACAAAATTTTACCTAAATTCCCCAAAATTGACAAAATTTGTCAATTTAGCTGAGGAGTATTATTTTTGCATGAAAGAAATATGTGAGAAATTTAAGGCCAAATTGCTTTTGCATACAAAACTTTTGTATGGAACGCTGAAGGGTAACAATACACATTCAAGACAAAACACATGTGATGGAATTTCGACCCCAAAATGACTAGGTATATTTATTCTAGAGCCTAGACAACACAAACCAATTTGGACGCATAGAATGTGGTATAACTCAGTTCAAAGATTAATCTCAGTTTACTATGTATGTGGTACCAACATGCTTTTGGGACAAATTTTTCAAATGAACCAAAATGTGAAACTTTTGGTCTCAAAGTTGAATTCAAAGTTTCTCTTCCAAGCATTTCGGATATATCTGAATCCGAGTCTGGCGGATAATTTGGGATTTTTGGGAATATCGATCTGAATCTGATTATATATCCGAAACTGACCAAAAATTCAAATAAAATATGAATATCCAAAACTGTTAAGAAAAAATCCAAATGGTTATGGTTGACCCTAATGAATAATTTATATTAGTATTGGGCTTATATCAAATTTATCAATTCCAATATGGTATGAGAGCAATAGTTCCAAAAAACCTAATCCCGCCTCCCTCTCGGTCCGGTCATCACCTTCCTCCTCTGCAAATCGACTGTGCCTCTCTCTCGATCCGCACCAACAAAACTGATTGTGCCTCTCAAGTCGATCGTCATTCTCCATTCATCACGCAAAAATCCTCGTTG